GTTCTGTGCCCTTGGAGGCCAGAAGAGTGTGTTAGGACCCCTGGAACTGTTGTTAGCCACTATGTTGGTGCTGAGAACCCAACCCACCTCCTTTGGAAGAACGAAAAGCACTGTGAACCCCTGAGCATCTGGCCAGCCCTCTAGTCATTTTTTGACATGGTTTCTCTGTGTAACCCTAGCTGTCCCAACACTCACTATGTAGACCAGGCTGGCTTCAAATTCAGAGATCTGCTTGCCTCTGCCTTCCAAGCACCAGGATTAAAGGCATGCGCCACCACACTCAACCCCCTATTTCTAGCTCTTAAAGCAAAGAAGCAAAAACTGTTTTATTTTTCTTTCAAGTTCATAAGTTAATTTTGCAGTTCAGATGGAAATACAAAAAAAAAAAAAAAGCCAAAAACAAAAGAAAACAGCAACAAACAAAACCCTAAAACAAATTGGGAAAGAACAAAGTGCACCTGCCTTGAAGACTTTCAAAGCTACAGAATTTGAGACTGCACTATTAACATTTAAAGAGATCTATTGATCTGAGGAACAAATAGAGAGCTAGGCTTGCAAATACGTGGAAAAAGGACTTTTGACAAAGCAACAAAGCAACACAATGGAGATAAAGTGTCATGCCCAGAGAGGGCACAAAACTGATGGATTATCCACAGACAAATAATAATAAAACTGTGTCCTTGCTCCACAGTGACCTAATAGGAACCACAGATCTGAGTGGAATGCTCTTAGTACCTCTATGTAAGAAAGAAATCAAAACAAAACAAATTTCTACCACGGGGAACAAATAAACAAGCTGATTGTGTTGACATTATGCAATTTTAGTTAGCAATGAAAGTGGCGAACAATTAATGTATGCAACTGCCTGCTTGAATCTCAGAATAACTACAGTGAGAAAAAAAGTGCCAACCAGAAAATAAAAAAGACACAAATGTGACCTCCTTCATAGGAATTTGCACCAAATGTAAACTAACACAACAAGAGGACAAGAAGGAAGAGGAGCAGAGGAGGAATAGAGAAGACTCATGAGTCTGTGGGTGACACACACAGTCACTGTCTTGACTGCAGTGATGGCTTTGTGGGTGTGTACAAGTCAAAATGCCTCAAAGTCTACATTTCATTACATTCATGTGTGTGTGTGTGTGTGTGTGTGTGTGTGTGTGTGTGTTGATATGCTGTGACACACATGTGGAGGTCAGAGGTTAACTTGTGGAAGTCAGTTCTTTTCCTCCACCATGCAGGTTCCAGGGATTGAACTCAGATCATCAGCCGTGGTGACAAGTGCCTTATCTGCTCAGCCATCTTGCCTGCCTGTCAAATTTTGTACTTTAGATTTTCACAATTTACTGTGGTGTCATAGTTGCTTTTCTATTGCTGTGAGGGGACATCATGACCAAGGCAACTTACAAAAGGAAGGATTTAATTTGGGGCTTGCTTACAGGTTCAGAGAGTGAGTCCGTGACCATCATGGCGGGAGAATGGCCGGAGAGAAACAGACTTGGCTTCAGCAGTAGCCTAGAGCTTACATCTGATCCAGGAGCACCAGGAAAGGAAAAGACGGGGACTGACATGGGCTTTTGAAACCTCAAAGCTAACCCCAGTGACACTCCTCCTCCAACAAGGCCATATATACCCCAATCCTTCTTAAAAGAGTTCCACCAACACGGGGGGGGGGACGGGGGGGGGACACACAGACCAAATTAAAATATAGGAGCCTATGGGGGTCATTGTCCTCCAAACAGCACATGTAGGATATAACTTTAAAACATCTTAGCTTTATATCTGATGTGTGTGTGTGCTTAGTCAATGTGCTATCTAAACATTTGTTGAAGTCACCTTTCTCTTGCATAATTATTTTAATAAGTATAAACAGAATTAATCATTTGTAAACCAGCCAATTGAAACTCGTCTTTAACCTATTTGTAGTGATTATGAATGACATTACAATAAACATAATAGGACTGGTGAGAGCGCAGTGGCAGAGGCTCTGGCTGCCCAGCCCGATGACCTGAGTTCCATCCAGGACCCTCTCGGTAGAGGGAGAAAACCTGACTCTGATCTCCACATGTGTCACAAATGCACCCGCTCACAAACACACACGTATATAAAAAACACAAAAAATTAAAACACAATAGAGTTTGGAATAATGGATTCAGCTAAAACAATTTGAGACTCTTCTTTTTATGTATGTTATGCAAGAATGGCAACCTTGTCAGGTGTGGTGGCCCACACCTTTAATCCCAGCACTCAGGAGGCAGAGGCTGGAGGATCTCTATGAGCTCCAGGCCAGCCTGGTCTAAACATCCAGGACAGCTGGGACTCCATAGAGAGACCTAGTCTCAGAAAACAAAAGCAGGGGTGGGGTGGAGAAATACCTTTCTGTTACATTCTTAAGGAGAAGATGTTGAGAGACTGTGTTACTGTACACAAGGAAAGTTTAGAGGCCAAGGTGACGTAGCAATATATAGCTGTCCCCCTCTTGTAGAGAGTCTGGAAGGTGGGGGCATGTCTAGCCCATAGAAACATTCATCTTACCTCCATGAGGAACGGGGATCAAGATGACCATGGATGTACAAGAGCCTGTTTGGCTACTCTACTAAACTGGTTCCTGTGCCTGGTGTGGGCAGTGGGGCTGGCTAAACAAGCCCTTATTCTTATAAATAGCTGAGGCTTAGATATGTGCCTCTTCTTCACTGGAGGAGCGGACCTTCACTGTCCTGCCCTCTGCATGAGTTTCCTATGACTGCTTCGAGACATCACCACAGACGTAGCGACCAAGACAACACACACACATTATCTTACAGTTATTAAAAAGTCCAAAGTGGCTCCCCAGGATGGCATTCCTCCTGGAGGCTTTGGAAGAGCCTTGCTTTCCTTCCTTTCTCTGCCTCTTAGAGAGGCCAGAGTCCTGGGGTCCCACAGCATACCAGCTCTCACACCTCCTCTGTGCTGACCCACCTCCTGGTGACAGGGGCCACCAGGGCAGTTAGGCTGGACCTTATCTCTCCACCTCAGGATAAACTCAACAGTATCTGCAAAGTCTCTTTGGCCCTGGGAGGGAACAGTTCATGGGTCTGAGTACTGGAACTGTGGTCTCGTGGGAGGGAGCCTCCCTCAGCTGCCCCCACCTGGACACTTCAGTATCGCCTCTATGACACCTTTTTTCTCTGTGATATCCCGGAAAAGTTATTTGCCCCCAACTCCGTGACAAACTAACTCTGAGTTTTCACTTGTTTTTGTCTACCTCTTCTTATGAAGTACCTCCTCTCCCTCCCCTCCTTCCTCCCTCCCTCCTTCCCTCCCTCCCTCCCTTCCTCCTTTGCTTTGCTTCTTGTTTCTTCTATTTAAACATCTATTTTCCCTTATTCTCTCCTGCCTTGTAAATTCTATATTGTTTGAGCTTCTTCCTCTCTAGGAGATGGGACAGGCCACCCTTCTTATGCAGACCAAGCTGAAGTCACACAGGCCAGACACAGTCTGCTCCTCACAGCTGTGTGACAACAAGCCGATTAATTATCTGACCTTGCCCAACCTCAGTTTCTTCACCTGTGAAATGGAAGACTTGATTCTCGGTTCAATGGATTTGAAATACAAGAGTATAGAAGTGTAAAGAGTCCCCTGGATGCCCCCTAGCAAGCACAGGAAGCATTAGCTTCTGCACTGGTTAGTTTGATGACAATATGACACAAGCTATAGTCATCTGAGAGGAGGGAACCTCATTGAGAAAATGCCTCCAGAAGATCAGGCTGCAGGCAAATGTTTAGGGCATTTTCTTAATTAGTGATTGATAGAGAAGGGCCCAGCCCTGGGCTGTTGGTCCTGTGTTCTATAAGAAGGAAGACAGATCTAACCAGTAAGCAGTGCCCCTCCGTGGCCTCTGCATCAGCTCCTGCCTCCGGGTTCCTGCCCTGTGTGAGTTCCTGTCCTGACTGCCATCAGTGATGAACTAACTGTACCAAGCAAGAATAAGTGCAGGAAATAAGTCCTTTCCTCCTTAAGTTGCTTGTGGTCATGGAGTTCATCACAGCAATAGTTCTGATTATGATAGCCTCTTCCTCCTTCCTGTACTCTCAACAATCAGGAAGTTTATTTGGTTGAGTGTGAAAAGCCAGAGTCTCTCCCATGGAGCAGTCTCCATGTGGGCAGCCAGCTACAGCTCTGTAGCAGCCTTTGGCTTGTGTAAGCAATACGGGACCTCAGGGAAAACTGGTGGTTACATGTGATGGGAGACAGGCACAAGAGTCCCCCAGCTGGGTTCAAATCCTAGCTCTGCCAGCATTAGCCATATGGCCTTAAACAATGTACTTAACCTCTCTGTCGCTTGCTTTGACCATCTGCTAAGTGGGAGGAGTAAATTTACCAGCTTCATAGAATTGCTACAAGAAATAGATCTGCAGTACTTTTTGAAAATACCTGACACAAAGTAACTCCACAATGCTATTTAATACATAGTTACTGAGCTCTGCTCTGGGCCCAGGCTAGTTATGACAATGCTAGTAACAGATGTTTTCCTGATCCAATAACCTTTAGGCCCATCTAAGAAGATAGGAACTCCAGAGGGAGTGGTGTTTCCAAGGAGAAGTGCCACGTGTTGGGAAGTGAATGGCAGCCCCAGCCTAGACTGACACCCTCCCCAAGGAAGTGACATTTGTCAAAAGCTGGAATCGGATCACTCTAGTGGAGCCTTGGGGCTTGTCAGCCTAGCTGCTCTCCCTGTACTTGATTCTGTTCAGAAGTTTCCAGATGCTGGCGAGGTCGAAAGGCTCCTAAAGGGCCCTGACATTCAGAGCTCTGGGGAAAGGAAGGTTTCGGGCAGCTACCTGTGCCGGCAAAGTCTTGCAACAGGGGGAGCTGGACACCAGTGTCTCCCCGAGGGTGACAGTGAGCAGCTGCAACAAGGCTGCTCCAGGATGCTCCTAAGGCAAACAAAAGAAAGATGCCATGTTCGGCTCTGTCCACTGGGTGGAGTATTTTAGTCAAAGAAGAGCGCCATGAGGGAGTGGGGCTTCACCGCAGAGAGAGGCAAGCTTGGGCTCATCCTGGGTCCTGCCCCTCAAAACCCTCCTCTACGGGGACCGCATGCCTCACCTCCTCAAGCCCAGGCCAGCCCAGGAGAGGCTCCAGGTCTGTCCTACTCCCAGGAACTCTTAGAACTAAGATGAAAAATTTAGAACCAGAAGAAGGCACGGGGGAGTCTAATTTTCACAACTTGGAAATCTGAGAGCCAGGGAGGGGGAAAAACTGGCCTATGCTTTGCATGTAGGTGTGACCTTTAAATATAAATGACTATGTGTGTGTTTGAAAGGGCAAAACAGTCTGTAAAAGAAAAGTCATGTTGACTGTTGACATGGGGGAGAGAGGCCAGGGAAGCCCTCTGGCATTGGGCTGGAGACAGCCCACAGGCGGAGAGGGAGGCTGGCCCTGGGATCTTCTTAGCAACCTTCAGCCTCATCAGCTCTGCTTTGCTTTCTGTCCTTACAGTGTCTACCCTGTATGTAACCGCCCTTGCAGAAATGAAGAATCTCTAGAGAGACACGGATGCGCCTTCCTATGGCAACCAGACTGTTGAGCCGCTGGACCCCAAGCAATTGGAATTCCCATGTCAGTCTCATGCTGGGGGTGGGGTTGGGGGAAGGAAAAGGTCAAAGCTCTGATGTTAGCTGAGGGTAACTTGCCTTCCAGGAAGATTTCACACCGCTCTGACAATTCATCAGACCACTTTTCAGGAGAGACTGGAGACAGACAATGGTTGATCTGTAGTGGACCGGACCACACTTTGACCGGGACTTCTCCTGCCCTCCCTGTAAGCCTAAACCTCAGGCCAGAACCCCAGAGATGCATGAGGGATTCCCAGACCCACTTAACTTGCTTCTCTTCGGGTGTGGTCACACTGAATAAAACTCCTTTCTCTGCTTTTCACTATCGTCTCTTTGATTGGCCTATTGAGGACAAGCGGCCAGCCATAGGCCTCTGGGGCTGCCAGGGCACAGGCTCTGGCCCTCACTCTGGTAACAAAAGGCTCTTTCTTTCTTTCTTTCTTTTCTTTTTTTTTTTTTTTTTTTTTTTTGAGAAAGGATCTCTCTCTAGTCCTCTCTGGCCTGGAACTCATTATGTTGATCTTGAAACTGCCGCAATCTTCCTGCCTCTGCCTCCCCCAACTGCTTTCTTCCAACAACTAGCCTGTTGTCATCGTCTCTTCTTTTGTCTTTCTCAACTGCTATTGAGAGCATAGTTCCCTATGTGACCAATTGCATTATGTAAGCGCTCACACATGCTCCACCTGGCCCTTTCTTTTAAGATGGGAATTCATGAATTGGGGTTTACTGTGTGTCTATCCCCTGTACCAACAAAAGTAGATGTTCTGGAAAAATCTGTGTAATTGACCAGGAAAGAAAACTTCATAGCTTCATGTCTAAGCTTACCTGTGAATCAGATCACTGTGAAGATCAGCCTGAATTACGTTCTTGAAATCATCTGCTACCTTTCAAAGAAAAACAAGTGAAGGGATGCGGTTGGGGGACCCTATATGTGCCAGTTCACAGAGACAATAGGTAGAAATTGCTAGAAAGCCAAGGGCTGTAGAGGATTCCTTTACACGGTGTGAATATGTGTCATGATACTTGGGTTGATAAAGACTCTGACTGGCCAATAGCCGGACAGGTAGAGGTTAAGTGGGACTTACAGACAAAAAGGGAATTCAAGAGGAGAAGGGGTCTGGGGATCATGAGGGGACTTGGAGAGAAGGTGATGAACTTGCCGTACTGAGAAAAGGTACCGAGCCACGTGGCAGAGTGTAGATAAGAAATACGGGTTAATTTAAAATGTAAGAGTAAGCTAGTAACAAGCCTGGGTTATTATTACTATTATTAAGCATTTATAATTAATGTTAAATCTCTGTGTGGTTATTTGGGCACTGAATGGTGCGACAGAAAAGTCCACCTACAAAGGGCTTGTGTCACACTGTGACAATGAACATTTATCTGTATTTGTTTGTTTACTCCTTCTTGTTGAAAAACAAATGCAGTGAAACTGAAAAATGCCAGTTAATTACATAAGTAACCCCACAGGCTACAGTAGGCTCACACAGACCTGGAAGTGCGCTTCACATTGGTTTGATCAGGACTGAAATAGCTGATTTGAGGCACACAGGCTGATCTAGACATGGATGCAGCATTGGTGTTTATAAAATCCTTAAGGCTGGTGAGGAAGAAAGCAAGAGACTCCAGGAAAACAAAAGTGGGGGAGAGAAGGCCACTACAGTGCATGGCCAGACAGGAAAACGTGCTCCTCCTTAAGGTGGACACAAGTTCATCTTCCCATTTCCAACTACTAGAGGATACACAGGGACCCTCAGCACCACAGCACCACAGGTTTGTCAGAGACTGTGCGCTCCCCAGGTGGGTCTGCAGGCCCTGCAGAGTCTACCTGTTGACAGGAGCTTCTCACTGGAGCCATCAATCCAGAAGCTAGACTTGAAGTCTAACGTCAATTAAAAACACAAAACAAAACAATTTCCTCTACCCTTGTAGTTTTGTCTGTTGTAAATCTGTGGTGAGCTTGGCAGAAATGAAAGCATTCTGGAGAGACTGTGTCTCTCTGTCTGGGAAACAATGGGTCCCAAAGAAATGGGAATTTCCCCAGGAGTCATATGCAACAGCCTGAGAGACAACTTGTCTCCCACAAAGTTTCGCACAGTTCTAACAACTTGTTAGACCACCTTACAGAATGAGGCTGAAGCCAGACAATGAAGTGCCAGTGATGGATGGGACCACCCAGAAGGGACACACACACACACACACACACACACACACACACACACACACACACACAGAGAGAGAGAGAGAGAGACAGAGACAGAGACAGAGACAGAGAGACAGAGGGGACACACACACACAGAGACAGAGAGACAGAGAGAGACAGAGAGAGACAGAGACAGAGACAGAGAGAGACAGAGAGAGACAGAGAGAGACAGAGAGAGACAGAGAGAGCAGCATTCCTTTTCTTGTTCAGGTTGTTGTATCTTTTCAAACACATACGTTCTCACCTGCATTTAAAGGTCACACCTTCACCGCAAAGGGTACCCTGCTTAGGTGGCATATCCTGGGCCCCTTCTTCAAGGTTCAGTCTCACTCCAGAACCCTAAAGATGGTCTTGAAGGGGTCACTGGACCTCATTGCCCCTTTTCCCAATGGACACACATTGAATAAATATGTTTTCTGCTCTATCGACTAGACTCTTTTAGAGAATGGATACTGGTCTCACTTGGGGGACAGGTCATGACACCCAAGTATGATAACAAGTCAATAGGAAATGCAAAGACTCTGAAGTTAAAGGTTTCAGTGGCCGGTGGAGAAATGAAAAAAACAGGAAAAAAAAAGTTACTTATTGAGGAAAGTAGAGCGGCTTCTAAATAAAGGTAACCCAGTGAGATTTAGACAACTGGTAAGTTTGCAGAGCTGACCTCAAAAAGACAAGACACACCCCCACCCACCCCTAAGGAAGGAGGAAGCTGGAAGGCTTGGCAAGGACTGTTGCTGAGGACTCTCCCTTTACACAGCACAGAGACAGCACCCCTGGGAAGGACTGTACCCCTGGGAAAGACTGAGCCCCTGGGAAGGACTGCAATGGGTCAGGGTTATTAGTGCCGCGCTACCCAAGGCTCCGCCCTCCTGGATGTGAAAGTGAGGAGTCATCAGAGTTTTCCTGGCTGCAGAGGGCCTCAACACAGTCAGACAGCAGTGGAATTAGCTTTTTCTTCCAGCTGCTGGGAAAGGTGCTGGTGACTGGCTTTCTAGCAGAAAGAAGATAAACACTGGCCAGACTCCTAAGTGCCACCCACCCTGTGAAGAGCATAAGAGAACTTTTATCAGACCAGAAGAAAGTACCAATGAGCCACCAGAATGGCACAGGCAAGGGCACTGCTGAGTGAGAAGCCACACAGCCCAGAGCCCTGATGTCAGCAGTATGGGGCCTTTGAGAATCCCAGACCCATCCACGGTACAGGGCACAGCCCCAGTCAGCTCGTCTGCAGGAAGCAGGCCTACACTGTGGCCGGCTGAGCTCATTGTGAGGATGGAGTGGATGAGCTTCACCAATGATGTTAAAAATGGAGAGATTACTGTAACCACCCACGTTCCACCCACTCCGGTGAGAAGGAATCCAACACAAGGCTACGGCTCTCGAGGGCTTGCTTTGTGTCAGGCTCTTCCTCCTGTGTGTCCTAAGCACCACGGTTGCGGTCTTCTTCATTTTAAACAATGGGGACCGGAGACTCGGGGAGGACGCACAGAGCTCCAGCGTCTACCAGCCACAAAGAAGGCAGAGTGGAGATTTCTGCTCTTTCCCAGCCTGGATAAACTCCGTATCAGTCTTGCTGATGAAGAAAGGGGCAAAACGATGCCTTAGAGTTAATGAAGGTGGGCGTGGGAGAGGATGTGGGGTGGAGGGGAAGGAGGGAGAGGAAAAGGGAAGGAAAAATGGCAGGACATTAGTAGGAAACTCAAGAATGTTCCTGTGGGAACCAGAAAACTTTTAAAAAATGACTTTAGAATGATCATCAGTTCTCCTGCCTCTGGCAGCCCTCAGCCATGGGACCTGGAAAGGAGAATGAGCAGGGACTGCTATGGTCCTTTGTGGCCTGGGTTAGTGGGAAAGTATGTCTCTATGTCCCTGACTAGCAAGGACATGTGGACATGGTGTCGCCAGGATGGGCTTCCACGAAGACTTGGAAAGGCATGTGGAGAGTGTGCTGGTCTCAGTAGGGCAGTGCAGCCAGAGAGAGAGGCTGCATGGTTGCCCTTGAATTGAGCAGCACAATGTCTGAAAGCGGCATTCTTGATGTCCTAACCTCTCCATGTTCCTATTGGCACCATCACCCCCTCTTGCTCTCGTCTCATCGCTCCCCATGAGTTTCCCTCTCTCCTTTGACTTTTGGCCCCTCCTTATTTCACTGTCGTACATACAGTATCTTCATTCTCGCTCCACCTGCCACCCCTCCACCGCTGACACACGGTAACACTGCACGGACAAATCCCTCAATAGTGTCATATCTGACTTCTTATATTATTATTATTCATTGCATGCTTTATTTTTAGCCTGAACAACTGCATCCTAAAAATGGAGTTCTTAATGAGACAGTGGCTGGAAGAGCTATGCACGGTATCTAGGGCTTGGCCTCCCAGCCTGCTGCCTGGCTCTTGCTCTTTGCGCATGTGTGCATTAAGCCTCCACAGATTGTCCTGAGCCCAAGACACCACAGCTGCAGGACCCGCGGAGGTGAGATCAGCCTCTGTTCTCCCTACCGGGCTCAGCAAAGCCTCCAAGAGCCTCCCAGCCTGTCTCTCCTGGTCTCTACTCTGGGGAACGAGAAACAAGACTTTTCCCAAATGAAGAGAACTCACCTGCTCCTGCTGGGGGTTTATCTGCTGTCCTTTAGCAGGGCAGAAGAGGGGCTGAACTTTCCCACCTATGATGGGAAAGACCGCGTGGTCAGTCTTTCTGAGAAGAGCTTCAAGCAGATCTTGAAGAAATATGAACTGCTGTGCCTCTATTACCATGAGCCGGTGTCTTCAGACAAGGTCGCCCAGAAACAGTTCCAGCTTAAGGAGATAGTACTGGAGGTGAGTGAGAGGGTCAGCAGCCACCCGTCGGAGAGAGCCCACGTGGCATTTGTCAGGGATGTGGGAACAAGGGCACGGAGAACACGTCCAGAGGTCTTGTGTGCTGTAGTCTCGCATAATTGAAGAGTTTTGTTTTGTTTTCGCTGCAGAAGTGAACAAACTCTTAAGGTGGAAGGGGGTGACGGGGCTGCACATTGAGCCTTCTTTATCCGGGAGCTGTGTGGTCATTGCTCAGGATAAATAGCTCACGCTCACCCACACTGGTGTGTGCAATCAGAGCAGGGCAGGAAGATGG